ATGTTCACTGCAGCAATAGTAACATTAGCCATTATATAAAAACAACTCAATGTCCATCGATGGATGAATGGATAAATATGTAACACACACACACACACACACACACACACACACACACTGGAATACTACTCAGCCATAAAAAATAAAATCTTGCCATCTGTGATAACATTGACAGACTCTGAGGGCATTATGTAAAATAAAATAAATCTAATAGAGAAAGACAATTACCATATGATCTCACTTACATATCACATCTAAAAAACAAAACAAACAGAAACTAAGCTTATAGAACAGAGAACAGCTTGGTGGCTGCCAGATGAGGAGGGGGACAAAGGTACAAACTTTCAGCTATAAAATGTCATGGCATGTAATGTAGAACAAGTGACTACAGTTAATGGTACTATACTATATAATAAAAGGCTAATATGCAAATCAATAGAACAGCTGAACAACTGCTATGATGTGCACTGACCACTAGGGGGCAGACACTCAATGCAGGAGCTGCCTCCTGGTGGTCAGTGAGCTCCCACAGGGGCGGGGGGGGGGGGGGGGGGGGGCGCCACTCAACCACAAAGCGGGGCTTATGGCTGGCAAGCACAGGGGAAGTAGCGGGAGCCACTTCCGCCTCCATGGCAGTGCTAAGGACATCCCCTGAAAAGTCCTGTACTGTGAGACGGCACAGGCCAGGGGAAGGGACACCCGCTCCCCCCCCCCCCCCCCCCCCCGCCGTGTGTATGAATATCTTGCACCAGACCTCTAGTATTACATATTTGAGAATTGCTAAGAGAGTAGATCTTCAAAGTCCTCATAATAAAAAATAAAAAAATCAATTTGTAACTATGTATAGTGATGAATGTTAACTAGATTTATTGTGGTGATCATTGCACAATGTACATAAATATGGAATCATTATGTGAAACTAATATGGTGTTACGTATAAATTATACCTTAATTCAAAAAGATAAACAAGAGATAAAACGAGTGGTTCTATTTTGGAAGAGCTAACCATCTTGCTAAAAGGGGTACAGAGATAGGCATAGAGGTAGGCTAACAAACATTGACCATACCTGTAATTCAGGTAACAATATGAGGGAAAATATGAAAAGAAGCATTGAGACTATCGTAAAACCAAAGAAGAAACACATCGTTGGTAATTTATGATATAAATGTTCTTGTTTCCAAATACTTAAATCAGCTATAAACTATAAGATCTACACACACTTAAATGTAATTTCTTATGAAAAACAAAGAAAAAAGCAGAATATAAGTTAATAATAATTTCCTCTTTACTTTTATGATTTCTTTTCTTGTTTGATGCCCTTTCTCAACTAACAATTATGCATAAAGATGCATAAAATTCTCAGAAGTAATGAATGCCCTTTTGTTGGTCTGGCTAGTGTTGTAAATATTCTATTTTAAACCTAGACCGCTTTGAATTCATTAAATCCCAAGTCAATAGGTTTATTAGGAACAGAGAATGGAAACACTGTCCTAGAAATCAGCATGCTGTGTTTTCTCCCAAAGAGTAGAAAATTTGATCAAGTGGCCACAGTCAAATTACAATAAGAAATTATAAGCATTCGTTCATTAGCAGAAGTTTCTTGATCTCCTGCCATAGATCTCAATCCTACGGCATTCTGGATTTGTTCTGCCAGAGATTCCTCCCAACAACCGGTTTATAATAAGTCATGTTTTTTTAAAATTAATTTTGAATGCTGAAAGAAAAAAAAAAAGCACAGGGTAAGAGACAATTACGCCTTCCTGTCCCCTTTCCTTCCTCTTGCCTTTCTCATAAATTGGTCATTACAGCATTCTGTGAAAGAGTCAGCTCTAAATTGAGAGCTCCAGTATTTTTAGCCTTGAGGTTGCTGCAGAATGAAGCACTTTGATAAATAACCTCAGGGCCAACAGTAAGAGAAAATGGAATCCTTTTAGCATAGATTTAAGGGAGACTACAAAGGGCAAAAAGGCCCAATCATTTTGAAATAGCAATTTGACAAAGCAAAGGTTGAGCCGAAAAACAGAAGAAACCATGGGATTCTGCCTTCAAAGGTGATTAAAACAGAACATGGACATTGAAGAGAAGGTATGTTTTCTTTCAAATGATTCCATCATTTGCTGAATAAAAAATAAAGTCCCAAACAATCACTTGAAATAGCAAGGGGGGCCCTAGCTGGTTTGGCTCAGTGGATAGAGAGTTGACCTATAGACTGAAGAGTCTCGGGTTCAGTTCCGGTCAGGGCATGTACCTCAGTTGGAGGCTCCTCCCTGGCCCAGGCAACTGGTTGGGGAGCATGCAGGAGGCAACCAACCGATATGTCTCACATCGATGTTTCTCTCTCTGTCTCTCCCCATCCCACTCTCTCTAAAAAGCAATGGAAAAATACTACTGAGCATTTTAAGAATCTTTATGTATGATTGTTAGTCGAGAAAGGGTATCAACAAGAAAATAAATCATAGAAGTAAAGGGAATTGTTAACTTATTCTGTTTTTTTCTTTGTATTGAAGGATGCTTTTCAAACAATCAATCATATTGTACAGGCTTTACTTGCATTTTAGAATACTACAAAGAACTTCCAGTTACCTATCAGCTTAAACAATTAGCATCCATCATCCATCTTATTTCATATATATTCCTACTTTGAAAGTGAGTTATTTTTAAATGTTCCTTCAAATGAAGAATAACTACAGGAAACAACTAAAAAACTCAATTCAGAAAAGCCATTCTCCCCAGGGAGCTCTTGCTTCTTTAGCTTTGGTGTTAGGAGCTCAGATGGTGCATACATCTAATTAATGGAAGTTCATTGTTGCCAGCTACTCTTTCTATTGGAAACACCCATTTACAAATAAGGCAAGAGAGATTTTAAAAAGATTGTCTTTCAGGATTTGGTATCTAGTATACTTATAATGACAAACATATTAGAAAATAATATGCTGTTAATTGAACTTAACAGTTGAGCCTTTCTTTTTTGTAGAAGCAAATTCCATGATTCTAATGATCGGCATATCCTCCATGTCACTGAGATTTGAAGTTTACTGTTGCCCTGTTCTTAGGCATTTTGCAACACTCAAGATATCTAAATCTCCATCTGTCCTGTGGACGTGTGTCTCATTAGTGGCCATGGTTTTAGTACTATCTTGCTGAATAAAAAACTCCTGATAATCTAATTAGAAGGAGTCAACCATAATTACTGGGTGAGAATAAATTATTAGTGGTCATCAACTTTCTAGTCCTGTGCAATGGCTTATTCCTCTACAGTTTATACTATTGACAACACCTCAATGAAAGCCACACATACATGAAAGTGGCTTGTTAACAGAGCTGTAAGGCAGAGAAGATTTTAGCTTCAGTTCATTAAGAATGTGATGATTTCTTTGACTTTTGTTTTTTCTGTAACTGGAAGATTTTCTTACATTATTTAATATAGAGTATTTTAAAGGCTCGGTATACACATCTATTCTACAAATATATCTATCAAGAATATTCAGTTCTTCAAGAAACTTAATAGAGTAAAAGATTAATGGGAAATCCTGTTATCCATCCATGGTGTAGACTAAAAACTTTATTGACTTTCCTCCTAAAATCTTGCTTGTCTGTGAATTTCTCCTTTTGAACAAAAGCGTAGATGATATAGTTTCTTTTCAAAGCATGTAATCTGAAGTACATTTGATTCTGTTTGTTAACACACAGGACCCATCATCATCTGACCCACGCCAGACACCTGCCTGATAATAATACAAACCACATTTACAAGGAAGTATTAAATTAGAAAAGAAAGAGTAGAATAGTTTTGGCACAAAATGTAAAAAGCAAGCCAGGAAGTGCTCTGGACCAGTGCAAGGAGGAATTCCTGTAATGGTCTACCGATCTATAATATCCTGGCTGTCCTGATTTCAGATAACCTGCATCTATTTCCAAGCAGAATTTATTACAGAGAGATATATACTACATGCATATTGATCATTTGTGGACAGTTTATGCACCAAATCTCCAGGGTGCCATACATTTCTTTTATGTAAAGATTCACTAGCATAACTGCCATCCATGTACTTTTGTGAGGTCAAGTTAAACACATATGGGCATTTGGTACTTTGTAAAGAATTATGTTATGCATGCTTTATTCCTTTCTCCAGGAAAAACAGGGATGGGAGAACTTATCCATGTCATCAGGAGAACTAGGGACAGAAGAGGGAATGGGGATACATGTCGGTTTCCTGGTTTTGATAACATATTACAGTCATGGAAGACGTTATTACTGGGGAAGTGGGTGATGTGCACACTAAACTGTATTATTTTTCCAACTTCTTATGAATGTATGATTACTGCAAAATAAAAGTTTAATAAGAGATTATGGGCACATCATTTAATTAAATTTAAACAACAATGTGGTTCAGACAATAACCATGGCTATTGTGGGCAGAGGGGCAGGAGAAGGCTCCCAAGAAAGTTGTGAGCTGCTGAATACAGCAATAACCTCAAGGTCAGAAATCGCAGTTTCGTGCTTTTGCTGTGCTACTTATGATAAGTGTGACACAGGCTAGTAACTTTTTAAATCGTAAGGTTGAGCTCTTCACCTATAAAACGGGTATATAATGCAACACACAGGTTCTAATAGAGCATTAAAAGACGAAGGGTTGTCTTCATTAAACTGTAAAGTCCCAAGCACCATGGGTGATGTTTATAAGACTGACAGAATCAGAAGTCAACTGCTGACAAGTAAAATCCAATAATAAATGGTTCGTTATTGCACAGATATATCCTAAGTCAAGTTATAAGCACCCATACTTCTGTGAGTATGGATAGTGAAGACCCCAAGCAGTTGCTAAGGAGAGAGCTAGCGCCACCCCTAAGAGTTTCATTGTGAAAGGGAGTCTGCTCTTTTTCCTTCCACACCTGAGAACACCGGTGATTGCTGATGCAGCAGATCTCCTCCTCCGATTTCCTCCTCCAGGAGCGGAATATGGTGACGCGCACAGCATCCAGAGAACAGCTTACTTACCAACTTCATCCTGGATCTCCTCGGCCACAGCAGGGACATTGTAGAGGAGGGAGAGAGACTGGTTCATGCGCTCGTAAATCACACGGAGGTGTGTCATCACCTGATCAAAGGAAGACAGTTCCAGGTAAGCCATCTCTGGAAGAAGGAATAGCTAGTTTCCTTACCAAGCACCACAGACAGATACAAACTTCAAAATGCAACTGACAAAACACTGCTGAAGCTTTTAACCTTAAAGGGCATCCTTATGTTCCTTCTACTCCCTTTTTTTTTTTTTTTTTTTTTTGTCTCACTAACTTTAGAGCTGCTTTAAAGTCCCCATCATATTGTATGCTTGCAACCATAAAGTATAAAGTCAATGAAAAAGACTTTGTAGTCGAAACCAGTTTGGTTCAGTGGATAGAGCATTGGCCTGTGGACTGAAAGGTCTCAGGTTCGATTCAGGTCAAGGGCATATACCTTAGTTGTGGGCACATCCCCAATTGGGGGTGTGCAAGAGGCAGCTGATCGATGATTCTTTCTCATCGATGTTTCTAACTCTCTATCCCTCTCTCTTCCTATGTAAAAAAGTCAATAAAATATATTTTTAAAAAAAGACTTTATACTTTATGGCTGCAAGCATCCAACTCTGATTCTTACTACTGAGGCCCCTAAATAACCTCTGATATACTAGTTTTATTTCTTTGCAAATAGATAAGAACATATTTTAATTCTATGAGATATATCATGAAACAAAATGTAGACATATTTTAAATCCCTCTATTTAAAGAAATGTAGGAATTTTACATTTCCAGAGGTAGATGCAAGTTGGGAATGGTGGAACAGAAAACATACTTATTACAGGACTTACACGTTCACATTATACCCAATCACTGTTTCTTATTGCTTACCACAATGTAGTTGAACTGATTTTAGCAGATTTGCTTTATATACCATTTGTGTGCTTCATTTTAGTCATGAGATTAAAATGGTCCCTTTAAAAATCAATAGCAGTAGACATTGCAGGTTTTTGTTTCTTATTACTAACTGAGAGGTTGACAAACCACATATTGCTGTAAGACAAGCCTTTAGAATTTACTCTCTAATCTATTAAAGAGTAGTTGCAGAAGAGCCAGAGGTGCTCTGGGAATAATGAGAATCTGACCCAAAGACCAAGAACACTGGCTGGCCAGAGGTGATCACTCACCTGGGACCGGATCTGAGCAGCTTTCTTTGGATCCACCATGCGTACGTGCTCAAAATGCTTTAGGGTGTGCTGCCTGTCTTTCTGTTCCGCACGGACATACTTCTTTAGCATGTTGAACACATGACGAGGCTGTGAGGAAAAATATAAAAATTCAACTTTGAGCAAAATATTTTTTCTTCCAACGGCTTCTGGGTCGGAGGTCCCACTCATTCATCCCATGGTATGAAGGCATTGTGAGACACCTCTCTGCCATTCTCCTTTCCAAACATTAGTCCTATTCCTCTGTTCATGGACAATTACTTAGTCGATGGGTCGCTTTCCATTTCTACAAGGTCATTTAATATTTGACATATATGGTGACTGACCTCCTTAATAAACATTTTCTTATTAAACATTCTCCTGCTATAGAAGGAGAGTTGATTTGGGAAGTTAGATTTAAGTTAGGTCCTTCCCTTTTTCCACCCAAATATACATGGGCTTATGAGACCACATTTCTAAAGCCACTGTCTTAATGGTTATCTCAGCAGTAATGTTGCACAAATAATCCCATCATAAGTAGCATGTAATAGTATAATAATCAAAATGTGAAAAATAATAGGCAACTTAAGCACTACTCATTTGTAGGCAAGAAATAACTGATAAACTCTGAGAGACATTAGATTTTCCAATACGAAATGGCAGTTATTTTATTTTGAAATTTAATTAAATTCTTCCTATGCCATTGGATTCTAATTCTTTCAGCAACAATTAAATTTCTTCGTAAGTGCTTCTATGACTTTCTAATTGGTTCCATTTTTATTCCAATCGTACTTGAAACATTCATCCTCATAAAAGAAGAACAAAACTTCCTTTGTCTTAAACCATTCCACTGCTATATGCATTCTACTGTGTGATTTTATAAAACGTTTTCCAAAGATACACACATTCCTTCTTCATTAAAACAGAACTGTGGAATCTCATGTCAGCAACAGAATTTTGGCCAGTTGGGTAAACCCAATTATTATTAAGAATCATGGGCACCTGGAAAACCTGTTGGAAGATACAGAATCTATTCCCACACAGGGGGTGAGGTGAGAAGTGGAGTTTGATCTTGGGGATATGCCTCCCCTTCTCCTTTTGCTTGTTTAACTGGGGGCCACCTCCCTGACATCCCAGGTGTAAGTGGTGTTCATCCTCTGTGCTCCCATGAAATGCTACGCAGATCTCCATGATTGCACTTAACAAAGTCTATTAAATTATTTATGTTTCTGGCCACCCTCTTCAACTGTGAGATATTTCAGGAGCAGTTTTGGTCTGGCTCATAGGGGGTTGTTGCTCTGTACTTAGTAAGTTGTTTAATGTAAGAAAACAAGTAAATACAATCAGAAAATAAACCTGCACTCAGCCTTACTTATTTTTATCCTACAAGAAATGTGCTTCTCCACAATCTTAAAAAAAACTTGATGTATAGCTTTTTGGGCACCCACTGTTAGCATTCTTACTTGCACTGTGAAATCTGGTGCAAGTAAGACTCTACAAACCAGAGAATGGTCCTTTCAATCTTAAAAGAAGAAAAGTAATAAGAGGTAAACAGCTGACCAACTACATAGTATATATATTAAAAGATGATAGGCTTATATACACTAATTTGAAAAAGGTAATTTTTAGATGGCAAGCACTTAAAGACTGACTACTGTTGAATGTGAGAGATTGCCCCCACCTCCCCGACTCCACAAAAATCTCAATGCACCCAAGGGGCCTCCTTAAGTCTTTTCATTGTTCTATTGTCCACAATTCAAAGAACATCCTGGTTTCTACAGGGTGTTCCCAAAAATATATAAATGCTGTAATAGCTGACAGCTCAATTTTGAAAATGAAATATATTTTAATAAACACTGCCTTTATAATAATTATTCAAAGTGTGTGTATACATTTTTTTGGCCAACCTATATATTGGTGATGCTGCCAAGAAACTGGGAGAGCTGTGGACTAACTCTTCTGCATATGACAAGCCATGTGCAGAAGGCTGCTAAGCTGAAGGAAAACCATGAAAAACATATTCTTGTATTAGGCTATGTGGCTAAGAAGAGAGTCATCAAGGCTGAAAAAAAGCAAGGACAATGAGGAAAAGAAGAAGATGAAGAGGAGACGGATGGAAGAAGATATGATAAATAAGCTGGTTCTAATTTTTTGGTAAAGCATTTAAGCTCCCTGTACACAGCTCACCGAGGGATGTTTTATAGGCAGCATTGGGCAATCAGTATATTATATACACTTGATTCTTGTCATTGAAACCAAGGCCTAAAAACTCCCTCGTCCAAAGTTGGAGACAGACAGGGTTGCAACTCATTGTATTTATCTGTGATGTCGCCGCTCCTCCCTTGTACAATTGACTGCCTTAACACTCTCTCTTAGTTGCTCTGTTTCATTTTTTTCCCCTTGAAAAGACTTTACTGTTTGAAGAATTTTTTTTTTAAAAAGCTCATGTTAAAAATACTTCAATCAAACATAAGGATTATTTTATATCATAACTTCAAATTTGCAGGTGGTCACCTTGAATGTTTCTGTAAGGCATTTTATCCTGAAAGAAGGGTCATGATCAAGTGTGTGCACTGGGATATAATGGCTCCAAACTGGCCTAGGCATTACTAAGTTACATTTCAAATTAGGGAGTAGAGAGACATTTCTTTTAAACCAACATCTGGTCTCCCTGTGCCTTCTACTACCACCACCAACAGCACTCATGCCCACGGGCTAATTATGAAGTTCAACATCAACTTTTAAATCAGTGGTTCTCTACCTTGTCGCAACCCACAGGTTGAGAACCGCTGCTGTAGAGCCTAAGACCATCAGAAAACACATTTCGATTCATAACAGTAGCAAAATTATAGTTATGAAGTAGCAACAAAAATAATTGTATGGTTGGAGGTCACCACAACATGAGGAACTGTTTTAAAGGGTCAAGGCATTGGAAAGGTTGAGAACCAGTGTTAGATGAATGACTCTCAAAATTACATTAAGTGTCAATTTGCTAGTGTGTGCAATTAAGACAACGGACATGTTCCAGATAGCGTATGCGAGTATGAAACATGCTCTGTGTTACTTGCTGAGCATAATGCTTAGTCCATTGCAGGTTCTCAAATCACATTTACTTCTTCTACTCTCTACTTGCCTCCAACACTCTCACTTTTCTTTCTGCTAAACAATAATAATTCAAAACTTATGGACTGTTAATAGGATGAGACCATGTTTTAAGTGTTTTATGCTTAGAAACTCATCAGATCTTCAGATCAACGGTAGGACAGGGATAGCCTCTCACCCTGCTTCACAGATGAAGCAAGCCAGGCACCGAGGGCTCCACAGCTAGTCAGTGGGGGAGCAAGAAAAGGTAGCCTACTTTCCGAATCACCAGTGAACACGCCTTTCAAGGAAACTCTAAGAGGGACCAAGCGGAAGACATTTCTACAAAGTCACTTCCAGCTTGGAAAACGGAAATCACTGAATGGTTAGAAAAGAGAGTATGTCCTAAGACTAGTGTCCTCGCCTGGATTTCTAGTTCGTAGGAGCTCAGATAATATGAGGAGACACGCTTATCTCTTCTCTTTTAATTTGTGCAGAAAAACACCCAGGGTTAGCTTGCTCCATCTCATAATTTCTGTCCTTGGTTTTTGACACTGCGCTATCTTTGGCTAATGCGCCAGGGAGGAGACACAGCAAGACAGGAAGGTTAATCTGTTTAGGATTACTGGAAAATGATAAAAAGTATTCGTTCAAAGTTTGGCTTTTGTGACCGTCACAGATTCCAGTTCTAAATTCATCTTGATCTTTTAGGAAGACGGGTAATGAAAGGGTGGACGTGCTCACACGTTTCAAATGGCTTCTCTCATTGAATCCAGACACTTCTGACATGAAACATTCCAAAGGTGCCCTCTCTAAGGCCCTACGGCGTGACCGTGGACAGCGGGCACCCCTGGCCTCCCTCCCTCTCAGGCTTGTGTGTGGCTTTGCTCTCCCTGGCAGGGAACAAAGCTCCTGCAAAAACAATGGGGCCTCAGAGAAAGCAATGACCTCATCTGTTTATGTGGGCTCACACCACACTGTGTGTGCACCCATAGCCCCATCAGCCTTTTCTTCCTCGTGCCTGTGCCCTGGGCCATGAGATAATTCAGGAAGGCATTACCATGTCCCCCGAGAAATGAATTACAGGGCTCTCTGCTTGGTTGATTTAATCAAGCAAACACATTTCCAAGAATGGTGCTTAGAGATGAAAAATAGCAGAAGCAGATCAGCTCTTCTGTTGGAGTGGGCACAACAATCACACCACATAAAATGCCCGTTATTGGCTACCCCTCGGGGAAAAAAAATACAATTTTTAGTTAAGGAACACAGACAGCATTTCCCTGTCCTTTAATGTTTTCATTTTCTCTCAATTAGAAAAACAGAAAGAGCTCTACCTTTGGTCTCTGATTTGTGTACATTTCACTTAAAAAAAAAGAAAAAAAAAAAGAAATCATTGCCTTTGCAACTTTTAGCCAGAATACAGATTCTCAAGGCTTAAAATTAGCTATCTCTAGAGCTGTATCATAGGTTGCAGAATAACAGGAAATCCCGTTTGTTTAGGGCTTTTCATTTCACTATTCTGGGACAAAGACAGATTTCTTAATATTTTAATTAAAAATACAGAAACACTCACTCAGAAATGATGGGGGGGGGGACGACACCTGATATCTCTAAAGAAATATATTCTCTTAAAGTAATTTAGGATTATTCATAGGATTAAAAAAACAAGCATTAAAGATTTACTAGTTATTGATAGTAATTGAGTTTAAGAAACATATTTTTAACCACTGTGTGTATTATTTCAATCATTCTCAAATCATGAAATCTTCTATAATTAGTAATAACATTTATTTTCTGCTAAATTTTCCTTATTTCATACTCACTCTATGTATTAACACTAAAGTCTGGTTTTATTGGCATTGAATGGCTAATATTATCCTTAAAATTTATATAAAAAAAACAGAGATAAAAAGAAAATCTGCCCCAGGGGACTTGTTACATCCAATCATATTTACTGTCACTGGTGTTTTTGAACGATGTTTAAACATAATTACAAGGTATCTATTCGCATCTGATGTGACCCTTTGCAG